CATTTGTCTTTGAGTAGTCCAAGTTGACCATTTCATATGTCTGGTCTTTTTTTATATCTCTTATAGGGTATTCAGTTATTTTACAGACACATTTTACATGCTGGTCAAAATCATTTAGATTTGCCAAAGCCTCTCTCACTTTACACAGATTCTGTCCCATCAAAGGGCTTAGTAAAACCACTAAAGTCCCATACCATTCTCACCATCCTCAAGGTCCCAGTAGAATTAAGCTTTCTTTCATATCTCTGGTGAACACAGTCTCATCTGGCCCAGTGAACTGGACATCACATATTGCTTTTCTCATACCTAGTTCTCTCAGTAATGCCTGCCCCTCCTTTATAGTCCTCCAGCCCCTGCTAATTATCTTAGTCTTCCTTGGTGACAACCATGTATCTTTAATGCCTTCAAGCAGCCATCCCATTAAGGACTGCTTCCCCCCTGCATTGGCCTAGGTTGGACAGCCCATATTGCAAGGATGGAAGGGTTGTTATATAAGTCCGTTGTGAAGCTTCTGAAGGACTTAGACTGATGTCATTTGCTCCCATGTCCCATACTCTCACAAGTCACGTGGCCAGGGGCTCCTTGCTTGCTTGCTTGTAAGTTTTTCCTAGTTTTGATAGTTCTAGCATGGAATATTTCCTAGCTACAGCACAGTTAGCTTTTTTCCTTTTTACTTTTATCTGTCTTTTCCTCTGAGTCCCTGGACTTAACACAAGTCAAAGTATCCTACCTTTTTTCTCTCTCCAGCTCTGCAACTGGGTCTGTCAGTTCAGCCTTTTCAGCTCTCCCTGCCTGGGGCACATCTTTTATTATGCAAAGTGTCTGAGCTCTCTCTCTAGGCACTCCATTTGGGTCCAGAGAAGGCAAAAGATTTTCTAGCCATTGGGTAACCTTTAACAAATCTTCACATACCCGCAACATATCCCCACATTTACAACATAGCTGTGGCCTATGCTACTGCGTGGCCAGCCTCTTTTTAGTAATCCATTGTAACAACCACATCAGCACCGCCATCAGTGCTCTTCCAAAACTCATTCTGTTTCATCATGTCCTGCCAACTATGCCAATTTTGTCGCTCGAGTTCCCTCTGGGTCTCCTGAGCTATCAAACAAACCATATAACATATCTTTATGTGCATTTATTTACTTACAAAGGAATGAGTACCCAGTGCCTAGCCCCATGCCTTGGCTCAGAGCCTTCCATATCAGACCAAACCACACCCATAGTTACTGCTAGCATTCTCTCACGCCTCAGGGGCCAGTGATCTCACCCCAGGTCCATGTCCATAAGTGTCAGGCAGTTCTGTCCTTGAGCTGCTGCACAGCTGTGCGTTCCCCATGCCACACACTACCCGGGGCTCCAAGCTTCCGTTTTGGTTCCCAGCAGCACCTCAGTAGTCCACCTTCCATGGCAGGCCCCGCCCCTTGGAAGAACTAGCCAACTGGGAGACACACACATTTCCTAATGGGTCATATGTTTTCTTGATTCTTTTATTTATTTATTTTTTCTGAGGTTTTTGTATATTCTGGAAATTAATCTTCAACCATGGGTCTAGCTGGCAAAGATTTTCTCCCGCTCTGTGGGCTTCCTCTTTACTTAACTGTTTCTTTTGCTATAAAAAAAAAGGTTTTAGTTTAATGAGGTCCCTCCCATTTGTCAATTGTTGAGCTTAATTCCTGAGGAAATGAAGTCTGATTTATAAAGTGCTTTCCTGAACCTATATCTTATAGCGTACTGCTTCTGTTTTTGTCTAACAATTTCAGTGATTTGGGTTTCATATTGAGGTCTTTGATCCATTTGGAACTAAGTGTTTTACAATGTAATAAGGTCTGTTTCCTTCTATTTGTGGAAAATTCATTTCCCCAGCACCATTTGTTGATGTTGTCTCTGTGTTGTTGATATTAATATCAAATAACCAGTGGCTGTAATTGCAGGCACTCATGTTTGCATCTTCTCTTTGTTCCGTTTATCTATGTGCTTGTTTTCATGCCAATACCTTGCCATTTTTATTACTATAACTCTGTACAATCTTTGGATAATCCCTCCAGCATTGTTTTTTTGCTTAGCATTGTTTTATCTATCCGGGGTCTTTCGTGGTTCCACATGAATTTTAGGATTTTTGTTCTATTCCTGTGGTAAATGTCATGGTGATTTTGATTGGGATTGACTTGAATATGCAAACTATTTTTTGTATGATAGTCATTTTCATGATATTAAATCTACTAATCCATGAATACCTGAGGTCTTTTCAACT